ATTTATAGTTGTAGTGAAGTCAGAAGCTGTAATTATTTAATAAATCGGGTTTTGACCTTACAAGGCCAAATTCAAATTACATTTCAAAATAGTCCCATGTATACATGAAGAATTTTAAAATATAAACAAGCTTTTGATTACTTACATTTCACCTAAATACTAACTTTGATTAAGCCGAGATAAACAATTATAAATAGAATATCGGATAGTATTGTAGTATTCTCTTAGAGAAATGATAGTGTCTGTTATTTGTTAAAGTGAGGGTTTAGCAAAATATTCATTGTTTAAGTATAGTTCGGTCCTTTGATCTCTTTAAATTGATTAAATTTAGTTTGATAGAATGGACACAGTAATTTTAATTGGATTTACCTGAAATATTTGAGTGCAGTCAAATAGGACTAGATGTATAATGAATTCTCTTATTAAGTAATTACAAGGATATGCTAAACAGTGATAGTCCATTTAACATATCCCACTTAATTTGTTATAAAAATATTTGAATGCATTGATTAATTTCCAAACAAGAACTTTCTACCCAGTGAATAATCCGACTTCTAGAAAGTTGAGTGATTGTGTTAGATTATGCTAACACTTATTATTAATTATTGTTATTAAAATTCTAAATTATAATTAATAATGATACTAGATCAATAATAAATATTACTTTCTTGTATTTCTTTTCTAATTCCTCAGTAACAAATATTAGTCACTCAGTGTATTGGAGAGTGAGTTTCAATGTCCAGTAGTAATCAAAGTAACTGTTACAAGTTTTAATGAGATATAATTGGTTTTGATTAGCTGAAATCAATACTCTGAGGTGACACCAATTAAAATTTCGAAATAGCCAAAAAATCTTTGCTTTACGTAGCGTTATTCATCATGACTCTGTTAGGTACATTTTAATACATACAAACTATCTTCAAATAATTTCCAGCATTAAACGCGATGATTCCAACATTATAAGTATTTAAAGATAATGAGGTAAATTCTTGGATATGTTGGTTAGCGCTCATTGCGTTTGTTGAAGATTAGATGTTGAATAATATAGATTTGAGTTGATAATTTATAGTATTATTTTTGTTACTCATTTGTTAATTCCAGATTCATGTACTCTACTCTGAGCCTAACCTTAAGAGTGAGGGTTAGTGATATTAACTGTCTTCCTAAACGTAATTAAATGAGATAAGAGTCAAACCTACGACATACTAATGACAAGCTTTGTACTTTATTTAAAACCCTGGATCGGTTGATGGTTTACAATTTAGAGGCTCTTATCAAAACCTGAAGATTTGAGTCGTCATTCAGGATGTTTGTTAATCAAGTATCACTTTGTTTACCGTGGTACCTCAATGAGTTTGATAAATCAAAAAACCATGATAAATATCTTAGTTTGAATCCATTTAGTTAACAAACACTTCATGGCGCTACATTAAAAAAATCTTAATTGAAATATCCAGCAAGATTCGCGACCAACAAAAATTTACGAGCGATACTCTAGAGTCAGATTAAAAAATCAATATTAACTTGAGATTCGCTTAAGTACTATGAAGAAACTTTAAAACAGTTAAGAACTCTGGATAGTCAATTTTAGATTTGATCTGAAACACATTGATGATCAGCAATTTTTATCACACCTTGAAAGAAATTCTGAGTGAAAGATCAATTTAGATCATATCAATGGATTGATGACTAGTATGTTGACGTCAATTGATTCAATACATTTTCGATGAATACTAATACACTTTTATAAGTATCTAGTTGAGCCAAACGATGAAAACACATGATATCCTATTATAATTGATTGAACAACTTCAAGATTTTTAAATAGTTCGTATTAATTACATTTTACAGAATACAAGACGACTAAAGAGAAGATTCACAATATTCTATTGTTTCATTGCGTCATATAAATTCATTCACTGTATACGATATACAATATAAAATTTAATAGCAATTAATTATTTAGATTGTACGATAGTATTCTAATTATTAACTTCCGCGTTACAGTAAAATTTAATATTTTTTCAAATGTAGAAACTATGAATAGTTTGGGTCATTTGAGTAAATGTTAATTACCAGCAAGTAAAAATAAATTTAGTATTTACCAGAACTGTTTAATAAACTTGAAGATAAGCAAATATGGATAGTGGGTAGCAGTGGAATCCAGAACACGCGTTTTGTTCTATTTGCGATTCGTCAGTTGGATGTACCTGCATCTCAGGGTTGATGTTCACTCTGGGACTCGAACCCAGTACCATATCCCAATAAGAGATTGATCAATCGCAGTCCCGTACATCAATGGGAAAACTCAAATAAACAAAACCAAGTAAATCTAAACTTGAAGGTAGTTTTTTTTAAAAAAAAGAAATATTTCAAAAGATTAGCTATGTTACAAGACTACTTTGTAAATAATCATGTATTCAAATAAATAAAAACGAAATGTAAACCTGTTACAATTAACTAGAGGTAATTCATGTCAGATAACCATATAATTTGAGTAAATGTCTGCTTTTCTGTTAATATAATGCAAATAAAGTCACCTCTCATGAACATAACACATTTTTTAAAATCTTATTAATCCCTGTTGTCACATTGAAAAGACTTTAAAGACTAAGTTGATTAAAATTAGGATCTTAAAAATTAATGCGAAATTCTAGTTTAATTGGTTTGATAAATTCTTTAACTCTAATGATATCATATGATATAACTATTTTTCATGAAGTACGGAGAGATATAATCACACTTATTGGTATAAGTATGGGACAAACAACAGATTCCTGTAAATTTATTCTCCGTACACATGAATGAATTCTAATTATTGTAAAACTTGGCACTCGAACTTTATATAACAAACTCTGTGTTTCAATGGACTTCAATAATAAATATAAGAACTTTCTATTGTTGCTACACTTTACAAAACGTGTGAACGAATTCGATGTGCAGTTATTACAAACACGTCAGTGCTGTAGAGTATATATATATATATATATATATATATATATATATATATATATATATATGCAAGTTTTGTTTTACTGTATGGAATCACTGGCAGTGAATCGCATTAAAACCATTGACAGTATAACAAACCACATTTTGACCTTGTGCAGCTAAATAAATCGCCAAGTGTTGCCGGATGTTATATATATATATATATATATATATATATATATATATCCGTCCGTTAAGTATTAACTACTGAGCATTATGTGTTTTCCGAATAAAAATCATGTTTATAGTTAAGGTGAAAGTTTTCATTCAGTCACATGATAAATAAATAATGGATTAATTACTATGTATTGAAAATATTTTTTTAATTGGATAATAAAGGAGGTCAATTTAATTATTTTATGTATGATGAAATTCATTTATAACTGATATATATTTGACTAACTTTCTATCAGTTGGCTTAGAAAATATTCAGGAATTTGTGAAGAACTTCACTCGCATAAAAGTGTCTTTAAATTTAATTTTCGTAAAAATCATAAGTTGGATAGCAAACATCCATGCTTGGGTATTAGGGAAGCTTGATAACATGATTAGTGATAAGCAAATATTTAGACATATTTAGTTTAATTGAAATGCGGTGGCTTTAAAGCGAATTAAGTATTTCATTTAATCAATAAACTTTAAGTTGAGATAAGAAGACATTTGTCATTAGTCATGTGTTTCAATATTGATCATTTGGTTTCCGGTTAGTATTATTCTTTTAAAATTTCCCATCGAAAATAACAATTGTAGTTGTTGAACCAATTAAAAGTCAGCTTACTACTAACAAGACCAATTAACACATGAATGGATTGGTAACCCTGTAGAAAAGAAATTTTTTGGGCTGGTATTTTAAATAAATAAATACTTCACGAATTAACAGCTGAATAGCTATTTTATTATATAAAACATTTGTAATAATTTAATTTTGTTGAAAAAAGTATCATTTTTATCAACGCTTTTTCCTGATGCTATCTGAAACTCTCGATGGCGTACTGGGACATTTAAGCTACTTATTTTCCAGCTGTAAAAATATACAAATTAACCTATATTAATTGTAAATTTGTACAATTAGTACCGACGGTTCTTTACTGTAACGAAACTTATAGTATGAAATAAAGCTAATATTATTATTAGTGATAGTTCCGTTCTAATCAAATAATGAACTCAGGTAGTTGATTTTCTATTACTTTAAGTCTCCTATTTGAATCAATAAATCAAATCATGGACAGATGATTTATTAGAGAAGCAAAAGAAGAATGAACTAAATTAACAATAATCAGTTATAAAATCATTGGATTTATTCAACAAAACAAAAGTAAGTCGATTTCGATGTACTATTAAATCCTAATATTCATTCATCTCAAACGGAACTAATTTACTTAAAATAACCTTACATAATAATAACCTATTTTGCACGATCTTAGCCATCAAAATCATACGTTAAATCTGGAAATAAGTGTAAAATGAAACGTAAGTTTCTGAACAGTACTTAAATCCAACTATACAGTTTTTAATGCCGTAGCTAAAAAGTATAGGATTAGAGATAGTTGTTGAAAATTAACCCCATATAATTTTTGAAATGGTCACTACTATTGTTCATCCCAGTAATTAGTTTTGTGATAGTAGTAGTAATAGTTGGTAGTTGATAATATTCAGCTGAATCATTCAATATGTAATCAATCAATAATCTATTTCATTAACTTAAGATAGATCGAAAATATTTCATATAATATGACGGTATATGATAATGTTAGTAAAGTTTATTGATTATCTATGTTAAATAAGTAATAATCTAAACACATAAAGATTTGGATTAAATAAATGTGAAACAACAACCTACTGGATTTCATTACTAGACGGTTATATAAAAAAATCTCCTTTTTTCAACTATAGACTGTACTATCAACTATGTTAAACATAGTAAATCTTTTTTTTTATTTATTTATAAATATTTGATAAGATGACGAAAATGTATTATTATTATTATTTAAAACTTTCACTTAAAATTAGGACAAGTAGTCAAATGACACAATTTGAAAATCTTAACTTTATTCCAAAATCGTAGTCATGCATATAAACACTATTTTACTAATATGAATAAAACTAACTTAATTTTTAAGATATTTTCAATTAAATTATATTCATAAACAAAACGTTAAGAATCGTATGTTATTAATATTAATAGTAAAAGTATAGGTAGTAGTAGTGGTATTAGTAGTAGTAATAATAGTACTAATAAAAATAGCGGTAGCAATAGTATTGGTTACAATATTAATATACTATTAAATATATTTGTTTTACTGTAAATACATTTTGGCTACATCTACTAATAATCTATTATATACTTAATTAGCAAAGTTTTCAGTAGTTATATAACATGTATTACGTGTTATAGAAATATATTAAATCTAATAACAATAATGAAAGTGATAATAAGGACACTAAATATGTTCAAATTATAAAATGAATAAATAAACTATTCAATAAGTATCCTTTTCATTGTCATCATAATCTGTTTTTATTATTGTTATCTTCCATTTTTGTTGAGAAAATATTAAAGTAAAAAAACATAGAATAAGAAGAAAACTTAGAGAATGTTTCAGTCAGAAAGTAATTAGAACGTAAGGCACCTGAAACGTAATTTTTGAAGAATTAGCTAACCATAAGGAAAGTCAATTAAAGCTTCAAACTAGAAGTGACAATATTAATGGTTGTAATAGTATAAATTAAATAGTGTTTGATAATACAGTATAATATAATTAATAAGAATAATGAGCACTATGAATGACTGGTTTAATTGTAAATGAGAAGAGCAAGAAAGAACCAAAAGACAGTACATTTTTTTAGATATAGGAAATAAACTGAAGAATATCCTAGAAAGGCTAAAGTAGATGTATGTGTGTTTTCTTAAGATAAAAAAATATTAAGGAACACATAAATCGAACACACACAAACAATATAATTATTTTCTTTTCTTTAATAGTAAAAACAGATTTTTAAAAAATGTTATGTTTTGCAAAATGTTGGAGAGTAATTTATTTTCCTGAATCTTTGTCGTCAACACAAACTTCAAAACCTGTCCCACCGACAGAATTTTTTAAACCAACCAAACGACATTCAACTAGAACAACAGTATTTCTTGTTATATTAGAGAATTGTACAGCAACTAATGGTGCTTGATAATTATTCATTCTTAAATAGGGAAAATAATTGTTTGATATGACACCACTATAACAAAAAAAAAGAAATAATTGTAAAACTTTAATAATAAAGTTTGTTTTCAAGAATAATTACAAACTAATTATTAGAAATAAATCAATTCATTAACCAATTGAAAATAATCGTTTATCAATTGCTGATAATAATAGTTCACATTTCAGATTGGAATAGAATCAAAAATAAATCGATCATAATTTTAGTTAAATGAAACAAATTGGTTTCGAATTGTTACATTTCAAAGGAGAGTTATTTTTCATCTTACAAATATAAATGGAAAATAACTAATTGATCATTATTATGTTGAACAAAAGTAAGCAATTGAAATGAAGTATGCACAAATAACATTTTTTTAACTAAGACCAAACAATTTGGTTATATCATTGTTTGATAATCTTAAGAAAATCAACTGTATATTCTGTCAAAGACAGTTAGATTCTCATGAACTTGAAATAAACAAATGATCATAAAAACTACTGGCAAACAGTAAAGCATAAATCTAAGAATATTTAGTTCTATCCACGACTTTGTATTTGAGAAGAGGTAATATCACATATTTAATGAATCTTGAGTGAATTCAAACTACCGCATTCAGTCGTCTCTATGGTTACTTCGAGTAATAACAACTTGGTCAACAAGTTATTTATCTGGTAATTTTGGCATCCTTTAAACAAATGTTTTAATAAGTAGTATGGAGTTTGGAAAGATTGTTGAATTATACTATGATCATGAACTAATCTGTGCCAGACAACTTAAGAAGCAGAGAGCACTGAACAGCTATTTCATTCTAGCACAAGACACATTAAAGTATTCATCTCTGACACCATTAGAAATCAAACCCTCAATTCTTCATACCGCTAAGTTTGTATCCTGTGGTTCATATTTCTGACTTAATTCCATATTATCTAGATACAGGTATAATTCACACTAATTGATTTTCTTCGACTGGATTAGTGAGATTAGTCAAAACATACATACCAGTCTACACCAAATTGTTCTTCTTATATTGTCTCATTAATTATAAAAATACGTTGATAATTTCGCTTAAGATTTGAATGACTGAATTTTAAAAGCAATTGTATATGGTTTAAATGTATAATACGTAAACACTTACTACTTCTTCCCATTTGGTGCTATGTGTTCTGGAAAGTATCGTACAATACCAAGGGATTCTTTATCGAATTCATTCTAAAACAGCAACATTGGCAAATCAATAAAAACTCTTTGAAATATATTATATTTTTTAAGTATTATTAGTAGTTTCGCTAAAACGTACTTCTGAACTAGGGTGATTTTCTATTTTTTATTTTTTGAGACTTTTATGTCCTTCGTTAGTCAGTAAGCTGACGAGTGGAATTACTGACCTGTGGTTAAGAAAAAGTAATAATACTTAGTACGTACATCCTATACAATTTATTGATTTTTTCAAATCTCTACAATCAGCCTTCAACCATAAGATTAATTTATTTTCTATGAATCAAGTCGTCTATATAGATTCAGACTGATTATTCTCTAGGTTACCCACAAGAAAGCAAAACATTTCATAGACTGTTACGGATACCCACTGGATTGTTTATGTATACACTGGGTAATATATATCAACCAGTCATTGTTACAGAGTAACAATCAAAGTCTACAACTGTGAACACAAACGTTTATCTGAGTATTCATAAACTACAAGAGTGCCTTCCTCTGGTTCATCACTGATAACTCGATTTCCCTGTAAAAGTAACTTTAAATAGATGAAGGAGAAACTGGTTCACAATGATTTACTCTGAAAATAAGTTGCTGTACTGAAACGATGTTATGTCTTCTCTATGATGATGAAACAGACTATTTCTTGCCTAGATTACTGCATTAAACTACATACATATCTTGTAAGAATAATAATATTTGTATAGAATGTTTTATTATTTCTCACTACAAACTATGAAAGATGTGAGCAGTATTGGTTTTTTAAGTAGATTCGTAGGTAAATATTTTCAATAATTTTTCACTTAGAATGATGACAAACTCTCTACGTAGGAAAATGATTTCTTCAGTACAATGGGTTTTGTGACTTTAAAGTATGAAAACCAGTAAAATATTTTTTTATTTCGGACAGAAGTTTTATTATTTCTGTTTTCAACATTATATCAAATTATATTTACAAACATTCACTTATACATCGGTTTTCCACTTATTTGCCAGTTTTATTAACGTCTCTCTAAAAATCTTTGTTTTTATTGTATATTGTTCTGTGATTCTAAATTATCTTCAGCTTGAATAATATCTGTAACTTAATAAGTCACGACAATGATGTCTTGTTTGAACAATAGACGTTTTACACTAAACAAGATTAATATGCACTGTGAATAATAGTATCAGAAACAATCCTCTTCACTGCTTCATTTATCTGTTCTATCACTTACAACATAACGCTATGTATGCCGTCAAAACGATTGTTTAACATGATTTAAGCATACTTTAGTTGACTTTAAAGTGTTTTATTTATGCTCTGTGTTCCATTTGTATGGACAGATATATGTAGTATGTAAGAGAAATTAAAGGTAGGATTCTTACGGACGGAAGAAGAAAATAACAAAAAAAAGAGAAGAGATCCGAAAGCCATCGAAATAATAACAGAAATAAAAGAACAATGAATTTCATATGGGACAACTCAAAGATGTGCAAATAATGTAGTTAATGTATTGGTTTTTTATTTTAGAAATAGAGAATTTGATTTTGGTCTGTTCTTACCAAGTTCTTGTTCATTACACTTGCTCAAAGACTTAAAAATTTTGTTTATGTAAGTCGAACTAACCATGTAGTCAATTGAATTTTCCCTTAGTGATTAATAAGAACATGTCCATTTGGCGAGCTTGTCTTTTTGGACTGGGTGTTGTAAAGATTGTAAAATCTTAAATTCCATATCACAGACTGACTACAGTCAAACCACCATGAAAATCCAGGAGGGACTGAACATCCAATTTCTCATAATAAAGCTCTACAACAGTACACAATCATAAATTTCACAAGGGGTCGAATCAAGGACCAAGCAATCATGTATTTTTCCCAGTGAATAACGTCGAGAAATAATTCCCGGATTTCTGGTGAGGAGCCATGACCAGTGGGATTTTGCTATGCTCAAACTGAAACAAGTTTCACCAATGAGAACGGATAATGATTATGTAACATCCCGGATCAACTGAATTCAGAAATGTAACCCATAATATGGGAACTCTGTGGTCTGAAGGTTAAGCGCTCACCGTAATTCATAAAGGTTTTGTGGATCATCTTTAGCGGGATCGTAAATTCCCACTTCAGAAACATCATATTGTGGGATGAAATAGCTGTATTCGTATTTCCTGGTTTTTAATGATTTTGTAATCAAATTCAATCTGTTTTGTGAAATTTCAAGTAAATACTTTACTTGAGAAATTATCTATGTGATAAAAGAAATCGGTTCCAAAACTTTTATAATCCTTGAGATTTTAAGTTTCATAAACATATAATTAGTAATAGATTACACTTGTTTTCTGGGAATAAGTTATTTTTCGGCATAACGTAAAAGTCACGAACTATAAATATTAAAATGACAGGTAATCCTGATGGGATCTCAGTTAGTGAACAACATTACACAGATACATTTTGCTTGTTATACAGCACAAATTATCTGCAGGTAACATCATAACACTTTAAGAGCATAAAAATATCATACCTAAACTTAAAATCAAATGAGATAATTATTGTCAAATAATAGAGAAGCCTTATTTCGTTAAAGATACACTAATCAAAGCAACCAGATTGAAACTTATCGGTTAAACATTCCAATCTGTTAGAAGTACTGAGGCATAATATATTTAGCCTGTTTTATTCTATATGTCAAATCGATTCAAAGTGAGCCAAATTATTCACATTAACAAATCCAAGGACTCTTTTCAGTAACCATCATTCATGCTGATACTGAACATATGATTGGTATCAATTTGAATACCAGGTGTCTAGTGATAAGTTTTATTTACGTTTCACTCTCAGGCTCTGATATAATGAAAGAAAAATTCTTGAAAATGGTTATGGATTATTGGGTACCCTGCCTAATGTGAGTAGACATTTTGCATTCTAAAGATCCGTACTTTGTTCTTTTTAATAAATTATAGGATAAAATCATGAATGAGTTGCTTTCATCTATTACCATTATTATTATTATTGAAAAGAGATAATGAATTTTCAATAAGGTGGATCACAAACAGTAAAATATTGTCCACTTCTTTATATACATCATATGTTTAATAATCTTTACAGTCAGTTATTCATAAATTTATTAAGCATGTTAACTGTAACCTGACTTAAGCTAATTTAAGCATTAGATATTTTTGAAGGATGATACTTTATAAGGAGCAGTATTAGAATGGTCATTGTAAGGAAGAGTACTTAGCACAATTACTGCTATATATAGGGATACTGTAAACCATCAGTACTCAGAACTCTGCTTAGAAGTTATAATAATCTATTATGAATATAAATAAATATGAGAATTCCGTGTACAATATTCTTATTCCAACAACTTGATATGTAAGATGGTCATATTATTACTAGAACATTTTGGTATTCTCCTAGTTGATATGATATATTTATCAGGAAATGTGTAGAAAAAGTTAGTGTCACTTACTGTACCTCCACATTCGATAGCAGGTGATGGAATCGATTTAGGATCTTCCAAATCAGGTAACCAACCGTAGATCTAAAGTATAAACAGAGTTGTACAAAAATATATTTGCTTAGTAGAATGTGACTGAAAAATATATTAAATTGGTTTACCTAATATACAGAGAGATCGTTGACTATGATTCAAAAATGTTTGGTTAAAGATTGGTCCCTCAACCTCAATGAATCTTTTTTAATGAATAAAATGAAAGTAGAATATATCGGTTATTCATATAAAGGTTAAGTAAACTAGGTATATCTAACTAATCAAAACAGCCCATACTTTTTTCCTTGGCTAGAAACAGTTTAGAATTTATGAATTACAACGACAGATAAATCACACATCATGCCATTTATAGGTAAGAATGTAAAACTATAATATGAAATTCCATAAATACGTCTGATATATTTGTGAAAGACGTGAAGGACATCTAAACATACTCGATTTATTTTCAAATAAAGACATAATTTTCCCTCCAATATAGTTTTCTCAGTTGATTGACATTCACCCAAAACACTGAGATCAAAGCTACAGGGGACATCTGGATTCTGTGGATGCAAACCAGGTCCACTGCACTCTTCATTTACACCTTTCGAGCCATATTTACTAAACAGTTCATTCACTTTATTAATATACGGTTGGTTGATTGTGGATTGGAAAGTTGCAACATGGATAAACGTATTAAAAGAGTTTGGTCTTGCAGCAAGTTCTATTCCTAGACAAAAGAAAAATGATGCCAAGAAATGAAAGGAAATTTGAACTAGTTATCCTTTAATTATTACGTCTGTGAAATTAATGGTATATTCGGACACAATGTTAGATTGAGCTCCCTTCACATAATTCGGCTAAGTAACTTCAAATAGTTTGAAGTTTGATTAGTTTTTATTTTAAGTGGTGTAGTAGTGTGGTGTGTGCTACTTATGTAGACATAAGTAGTATATGACGTGAATACTGAACAGAATGTCTGGCAGCAGAGAGACGAGAAGATCTAACAATAAAGAATGAAGAAAGAATACAATTTGTATGAAAATGCAAGAACAACGGGATTCTGAGTCATTTAAGGCAATTGATGAACATTTTGCAAATTGAGCATTTAATATATGGTTGTTAGATTTTACTAACTAGTTCTGTAATTTGTTGTTTATCACATTCGATTGTCACCGCTGGTGTATTGTTCACTACAGTAGGAGTACTGGCCATTCCTGATAGCCATTTGGAAATGCTAACAGTTTAATACGTGAACTAAGGAGGTACAAATTAATTTTTAAGTCATAAAAAACTATCGTCATAAACATGAACATCAAAACCGAGAAAAAAACCAAAGGATGTATGGTCTTCTTTTCAGTTCAATAATAACATGAGTTTTTCATAACGTCCTTTATTCATTGTGAGAAACTACCAAGAGTTGGTAATAGTAAAAGTAATGTCATCCCCAATCATATCTCGTTTAACCATTATGAATCCTCAAAATTTAAACCTTTTGTGAGATTTAACCAGATCTTTCAATAAAAAGTTTTCTAAAATCATCTAAAACGTTTATTACAAGAGTAACAAAATATATTATTGTTACACAGAAATACATCAGCACTTCATTAATGTTATAAAGCAATTTATACATTAGTTTAGTTAAAAGTCTGGCTTAACAACTACAAGAATAATTCTCCAACGTCAAACTTCTTAAACTAAAAACCCAACATTAATGTACCATGCATCTGGCTTTAAAAATCTCATAGTAAACACGCATATCTGGCTTCCAGTAAGAAAAAGAAAAGCACATTATGAAGTTATTAGTTCCAAAAAGAAATATACTTGACATCGTGAACGAAGTTAGTTTTAATGGAACCGCTTTAAGACACTTCGTGATTCCTTTTACTTTAAAAATTCATATGAATAACCACCAATTGATGAGAACAATGAAAAACTTTTAGGCCGTATGCCGAGGTATTGTTTAATAGTTTATAGCGAGAGTGGTAACTGCTAACACACGTTTTATTTCATATATGTTAATCGTCTGAATCTTTTTGTATTTTCAGGATTGCAACCGATCAGTCTTTTTCGGCGTATATGGATCTTGTGAGGATTGCCCTGATACTGCAATTAAGTTCGTCCTTACTTGAAACAAGTTTTACTTGTCTCTTTAATTCATAAAGGATACCTCGTTCATGCTGAAACCAGCTTAAAGACATAAATGCACTTTGTGTCTTACTTTGATTGGTTATTTTGTATAAATGTTCTTAAACCTTCTTTTATACGTTTCTGCATTCCAGATGGTTTGGACATAGTTCAGCGTTTAGCTCCGACTATTTCGCTGCATATTTAAATCTTATCTAATTAATATGGTAAGCTTAGACACGTTTAATTGTTTTATCCGGTGATTAGAGTATCATTTGTGAACTAAAAAACGCAGTACTTCCAGACTGAAAATTATTTTTCCAACCACATAATACAGTTTGCTACAAATGATTTATTATAAAACATAGTACAAGTAAGAAAAATTCATCTTGTATCAATTCTTTAAATATGTGCACATTATTTAAATGACTTACAGTAATAGAATAGACTGGCGTTTACATGCATTTTGAAGCCTATCTACTTAAGCAAGTCTTGTGCAAGTCAGTAGCCCTATGTTAATGTTTTTTTCATTGTTTAAGAAAACGAAACAACATGACTGAAGGTTTACTAAAAATGGGGGTTTTATATGTTTAATATCACTATACTCATCATAATGTTTGAAAATCGACCATATTTTAAATACTCGTTTCAATAAGTGTTCTGATATTCCACGTTAACCAATGAAGAAAATCGTCCAAGAATCTTTTTTAATAAATCTTTTATCATGTATATAAAAGAGAACCAAAGGTGCTTCATTATCAATATGCGTGTCTGATGAAATGATGGCGAATTTCGAAGTCATTAGAAAACTACACTCATTCATACTTATATCTCAGTGTGAAATTATAATGATACAAATCTATCTGGTCAAACTTCTAAACGAGTAATGAGAATTTTGTTGTTATGTTACATCGAGGTAGGTTGCGAAAGTTAAGAAAAAGATGAAAGATATAGTTAATGCCGATTTCTAGGCTAAATGTACAGTTTGATTTTGTTTCTAGACCTACGCTACTAAAACTTAAGTCAGCTGGAACACCAAGTCAAAATAACGATATGGCGGCGTTTTACTTCGTTGAAAATGCATAGCTAATCTTGTATGTAGAAAGGTGTTCTGTCACTTACCAGGGTTAATATTGCTAAAAAGTTTGTCATTTTCTTATTTTATTCTCTAAAAAATTACATTTTCTTTTACTAATGTCACTTTCCTCAATTATTTGGATATTACTAGTTCATGAAACATCTTTTTTCTCTTCTGGATGGGTTGAGATTAATGAGCTTCTAGTGAACGTTAAATGGTCTTACACTCAATGATTTTATTCTTTAAACCACCACTTTTTGCTTAAGAAGCAGAGCGGATCCAATCACAACATCAACATTTCATGAGATGCACACTGCCGACAATGTTACTACAAAGCTATATCAAATATCACCTATCTTGATATATATTTCTATCCCAATATTCCCTAGTCATCTTATATTTTGTTAATATCAAAGGACTTTTTCCTTTAAATGTGCTGTACAAAGAATCGACATGTTTTTGGCAGCACCCGGCACTTGCTTTGGGGTTTTCAAATTCTTGTGAGTCATCTATTATCCCATATTGTTTTTCGTTATTCTTTTCTGAACTTTTGAAAAAAGAAAACACTAAGCTATGTAGCGTCTTCAAGACTGCTAGTAGTACTAATAGTGTACATATTGAATATGTTACAAAAATAGCTAATAGTAACAATCCAAAACCTTGTGAATAATTAGCAAGAGTTATTTTATAAAATACAAATCATATGATTTATGATTTCTCTTTTCCTTTATTAAAATAACATGTCTGTAAACTAGAGTCGACGTCCATGCAAAGAAGTACAGATTTTTAAAATTTCCTTTCTTGTCAAAAATTTTGAGTTTCAGGGTATACAACTGTTAGTAGTGCCTAAAAATATTTACAGAAATTTTTGATTTCTCCTATTCTTAGATTTAAATAATTAGAAAAAGAGGCCTAAAAGCATTTCCCATAAGAAATCTTTTACCAGAGCAGAATATTAAATGGGGTTATTTTTACTGTATAGTGAAGAATTCTTTGGAGAAAGTACAATCTTTCCTACTTTTCTCTATCTAAAAGCGTATCTATTTTATTGAAAAAACAGATATTTTATCAGTGAACCAAGCTTTTACAATACAATTGTATTTGCAACCTAATTCATTTTTGTACTGTAAGTATTCTTTCAGAAAGCTACTATGGTGGTTTCTTTTGCATCGGATAATTATACTGTTTGACTTGAAGAACTAAGCTAAGAACATTTAGTCAGATTTTCGGTTAACTCCAATATTCCATCATATTTTCAGTATTGCCAACCATGTTATTCATCACCTCTGCTGCAGACTTGCCCTGGTTATTTATACGCAACTGTTAATGGCGAGTACCATGTACCATCATAGTATGGATTGCTATTTTGCGTTCATGTAACATTAACTACTCTGAACATCATGTTACTCACCACTGGCTGTTGCTACTACCATGCTCACTCAGAGATTTAGTTGTCTTCAAAAGCTGCCTCACTTGTAGCTACTTAAGCACATTCTGTACATGTTTATGGTTTCCATACCATATGATGCTGTCAACACTATTATTTTCTCTAAATACATTTGCTAAAGACGTCTTCTAAAATTACGAAAAAAGATAGAAATACCTACGTTTGTACAATTTTAAAATCAACATATGAGGGCGTGTCATAATGTACTGACATAACAACCAAAGCTTCTGACTGTAAAAACTGTCGAAGTAAAAATTATTCTCAAAGAAAATTTGGCGTTTTTCATATCAGATTAAAATAGTGTTCATATAAGATGTAAGCAAATATTACACTGAATATAATGCGTGAAAAACTAACTGTGAATTTTTCACTGTTTGACGTAAAAGGTTATACTAGTTACTTTACACTAATTGACCATTGTATAATAAAGTAACAGATTTTTCTCCTAAGAAGCACTATTGTCTGAAACCTCCACTCTACAGTAACCATACCCTAACAATGCAAATAACTGTACATGAATTTGGAAATCGGCATTGCCTGTTAGTTGGAGGTTACAACGAATCATTTTACATAGTATCAATTAATGTTTTATGATAACTACCACAAACAACTCCAACGTAAAAGTATTTCAAACCACCACTTGGTAATGACACATATTCAAAACATAGACGATGTGTGCGTTTATCATATTTTTATGCACGAAAGATATGAATAAAAATAAGCCGTTGTGCATCTTGGAACTCTCTGGTATTTCCTCAGCATTATTACCAAGCTTGGCAAGCTTTTTGCGCAGCCTTTTGAATAGATTACCTCTTTAGATAGTGAGTCGAAGTATTTAACATTCCCAAATAATTTGACGTGGAAATCTTTAGTTAATTTTTCACGCACAGACTATAGAGTTTATTTGTTCTCTCAGTTTCAGGAAGTTTTCATCATTTAATCTGATCGAAATTTGAAAAATTTCTTTCATTTTACAGTGCGTTGTTTGTCATGTATGATTTCTTAGGTTTAAAGTGAAAACATTTTCGTGATGGACCGGAAATTCTAGGAATATTAAAAATTGCCTTCATTTAATATCGTGAAGTTAAATGAGATGACAGGAAAAGTAGTAGTTTGATGCTATGAATATATCAATACAATTTTTATGTCTGATTGTTGGAGCATCGCAATATGTGGTATCTGCCATCGTCAGCGTCATAAAACAAACACTTTTAATTCTGCATGATCTATGATCAGCTAAATTCAGTGTAACATTTAAAAACGTTTGTAAACTATAACAGTTATTGAGGCGTTCAGTTTTGTACTAAAACAAGAGAACACGTTTTAGAAAGATGTAAGGGACCGTTAAAAAGTACCTTCTCTTGTATTCTTGAGTAAAATGAAATATTAAAATACATTTATACTATGTAAATAATGGTAAGTGTTTAGAAATTTTTATGGATTAAACCCCTCTTAATTTTTGAGTAGCAATAACAATATGAATAGGCCATGAATCACATTACAATCACATGTGTAATATTTAGGAAACAAGTAAATAATTCACGAACCTGGCTGAAATCTCAAAATGCTTTGTTCCCCAGTGAGTGTTGGAACTGTTTTACTGACGTATCCATACAGAAAAACTGATAGCATACCGACGAAGAATAAAGCCAAGAACGTGTATGCCACGACGTAAAATATGAAAATCAAAACTGAAGGATTTTTATAGTGCAAAGACAGAACACAAACCCCAGTCTCTGCAAGTCCTCCCTAAAATTTCATGTTTTTCTGGATTATAGAGAGTCCTTTTAAATCTGGTGAAACGACTCTGTTGAACAGCTTTCTTCATTTTGTATGACGACAAACTAAGGCTTTCTTCAAATTACCGCTAAGACAGTTAAGGTATTGGAAAGTAGCTTAACTGTGGTTAGTAAAAACAAATGACCTAAAAGAAAAAACTTAAGTGAAATAAACATTACTGATAAAAACGTGTAGTGTATACTTAGAGCATCTTTATTCTTCTATAAAATGAAAGCAGTCTTTTGTCAGTAAACGGTTGAAAAAAAGAACTCAATTTTTAGTTCCCAATGCGTTCACAGAATGTTCACGGACGTATATTAAATTATCCATGAAAAAGTTCAGCGATTGATTCTTGGAATATATAAATAATCTTAACAGTGAGAGCCGTACGATAAGAATGTTCAATCAACCGATGAACATCAGGGCTAGTGTTATTTGGTAAGTTATTGAAAACCTTGAACTGAAGACCACATCAGTTAATCCGTAATTAAGCAAAATTCTTCCTAATCTCCCTAGTTCTGTTCATTCCATGATCTAAGCCCAACAACTGTCACAGTGAACACTTGCGTGGCTTGTGTAGAGGTAAATAATTCCCTAAGATAAATAGTTCTGTAAGACTTCGATACTTGATGCTGACCTCCTTAATTTTGCTGTACTCGTTTGAATGAAAGCTTCCTGTCATGTGTCTCCACTGGATCACGAGTGGCTATGCCATGCTAGGCATCTCCCACAACTGCCAGACAACTCATCCTGAACGCTTCTCGAGATATTGATGGCCTTCCAAATATAACTTCGAAACTCTTCACCCATGACTTCTGATTTTGCTGGGTCGGCATCACTCGATTATATAGGTGTAACTAGTAATGGTATTGTCAAACTCTGAATACTTAAGGCAACTGACTCGCAACTGGAATACTTACAAGAATTTCTGAAAAATATAAAACGGTGAAGAAAGCTTTATACATTTTGTAAACGTCAATGCATGTTCGTACTTAGTATTTGAGTGAGTAACGCGTTTAGATTTGAGGCTCTAGATGGTACATTTGAATTTGAAAACGTTCATCTACATTTTCCAACAGAATGAGAATACCGCATCAGTCCACTGAGCATCAAATGTAGACCGGTTAGTTCCGCTGCTTGATGTCCACAATAGAAATGTACAAGTTATTTCAACACAACATAATTTTATCTCACCGAAAATCTCACGTTATACACTACTTATCTGTAATGTGGCTACCAACATATGTTTATGAGACAAAATCCTCGGTTGAGATTCAGTTTCAGAACAGGTTGAAAAGTGACATCTCTCCAAGTCTGGATCGATGAATATTACAAGTGAAGCTACATTTTACTATGGTTAAGTAACAGCTTAGGTTGATTGGTTAATAGTTGACCTCAAACAACTAAGCATATATAAAAACAGTAGAGTTCAAGTATTCGTTCTTCATAGGAACAGGAGCAGGTTACCACAACGACCAAGACCCAAGTCACGAAAATGTCCAGATAGTCTGGCAGTTCTGTTGGTATCACTGGAAGTTTGGTGTCAACTCAACCAAGTTCATGCAACCACGCGCCTGGCCTAAACAAAATCCCAAGAATACGAAAAACGAGTAATTCTCTCAACAGGTCGCAACGACTGAGGAGTTCCACCTAAACAGTAGCTTGTTTTATGTTAGAGACGAAAACTATGGCTTGAACTTCTTGCTAGATACTGGCGCTGCTCTTAGTATCATTCCTCAAAATAAAACTGAACTGAGGCGAGAAACATCTCTAGTTACACTCCAAGCTGCCAATAAAACTGAAACCGCGGCTTTTGGGCAGAGGACTTTAACACTAGATTTGTGGTTTAAGAGGCGGTTCCCCTGGGTTTTCACTGTAACCGATTTAGATCTGGCAGTACTGGGGATGGACTTTCTAGAGAAATGCGAATTTATAGTTGACACTAAAAAACGACGCTTAACACTGAAAGAAACTTCTAATTACACAAAAGGCTAAGAAAGTCATATCACATGCGTTAATTTGATTCAAAATCCTCCAGTAACAACAGCGAAATTTCAAGACATACTGGCGGAATTTCCAAACTTAACTAGACCAAACCCACAGCCTTCCAAAGACAAACAAAAAGTAAGTCATACTATCAATACCGAAGGTGAGCTTGTGTTCGCAATACCCGGGAGACTAGCACCAGATAAGCTCAAAATCGCTAGAGCTGAATTCGACTATATCCTACAACCGGGTATTATCCGTCCCTCTGATAGTCAACGGACATCCCATTTGCATATGGTCCCAAAGAAAAATGAAGCGATTGGCGACCGCACCAGTTAGGTACCCAATACCACATATCCAAGATTTCACCAACGGTTTACAGGGTATGAACATATTTGCTAAAATTGACTTAGCCAGGGCATATCAAAATATCCCAGTGGCTGATGAAGATATCCCCAAGACAGCTATTACCAAACCTTTCGGCTTGTTTGAGTTTGTGCGTATGCCATTCGGTCTGAGGAATGAGGCACAAACATTTCAAAGACTCACTGATGTCCTACTTCGAGATGTGCCATTTGCACAAGGGTATGTAGAATTACGGTCTACTATGATATTAGCGCTGCTCTAATAATAGACCTAATCCTATAATTGTAGATTTGTTATGATGTAACTGTCTAATCTATAAGATCTTGCGCGGAAGTCACATCATCATCTACACCGACTCACTGCATCATAACAATCGCCAATACATGATAGAGAACAATCTTAGGCTAGAGATAGGACAATATATTTAATATGAATAAAAAATATAAGGTAAAATTCAGGAGGGACCACGCCTGCATGGTCGAGCCATGCCATAAGATTAACTTCGAATAATTCAATTCATTCTCCCCGCCTTTTCCATTCTTCTGTATTTCTCCGCGTTAAATGTTGAATGTCTATTTCTCATATTGTCTCGTGGTAGGGCCCGATGCCACTACAGGTATATAGACGATTTGTTATTTGCCAGTCTTGATTTACAATCACACGAATAGCATGTACAAGTAGTGTTCAAACGGCTGGATGAAAATGGAATGAACAAACATCAAAGTGTATTTTCGGTGTTCGAACTCTAGAACATCTCGGGCACACAGTAGGTCCTGTGGGGATTGCGCCTATCAAAGAAGTGGACACTGTCAAACAACACCCCATAGCTGGTTCTCTAGCATGACTTAGAAGTTTTCTGAGTCTAATTGACTTTAATCGCATATTCATACCCGGTTGTGCACAACCAATGCATCCGTTGACAGATTCACTTAAAAAAACCAAAAGAATTCAAACTTTTTTCAGACGCCTTCGAAGCTATTAAACAGCTAAATGGTAAACTGGCTCAACCATCTATGTTGATATACCCGAATTCTCTTTGCCCGTTTGCTTTAATGGTGGGTGCTTCAGGTAAAGCACAAGATGGTATCTTAACCAACCGGTTAAAAATGCCTAGGAATCTATTGCTTTCTGCTCAAAATGACCCGCTCCAGCAGAGACAAGGTATTCTACCTTTGGGCGAGAAATTCTTGCAATCTACCTTAATATTAATCATTTCCAACAATGCATGTCTTAAACTAAAGCAGTTACCATCGCCTATCGACGTTATTCTAATTGACCATGACACGACCAAGGTGATGCAGCGACCCTTTGTCCCCAAAATTATGCGAAAGTCGATATATAATGAATTTCATTCTTTGTCTCATCTTGGCGCAAAAGCTCCAGATAAACTAATCAATGCCAGGTATACGTGGTCAAATTTGCAGAAGGATGTACATAAATGGGTTAGAGAGTGTTCGTCATGCCAACAATCAAAGGTTAATCGTCACACAAATTCACCCATAAGTGTTTTTTTCGCAACCAGATGAACATTTTACCAATGTGCATATGGACTCAGTAGGACCTTTACCACATTCGAGCAGTTTCAATTATCTGTTTACAGGCATACATCGGTTAACCGGATTTTCTGTGGCAGTCCCGATAGCGGACTTCACAGCGGATACAGCAGCCAAGGTTTTCATGCAGAACTGGATGATCATTTTTGGTACACCCATAACAATAACGACGGATAGAGGAGCGCATTTTGAATCCGAACAATCGCGTGCCAAAATAACAACACCGCTTAGACCTCCAATTGAAGGTCCTTTCAAAGTCATTTCAAGGAAATCTAAATATTTCATGATAGAGAAACATGAAAACATGGATTCCGTAAGTATAAACAGGTTAAAACCGGCGTGTTTCGATCGTAAACCACCATATGTATTGTTTGCTTCACAAAACAGTCATGGATTCGACAAGTAAAGACAATAAATCTTCACAACTGGCTAAAAAGGTTGGATGGGAACAGCCAATTAGTCAATCACGAATATTGACAGTTTTGACTGCAGACTAAAATACAGCCATGTATCTACTAAGATCTTGTGTTTATTTAACCTTTAAAAATTTTTTTCTTCACACCATTTCACCTATTTTATTTAATTAATAAAAACCACCAAAAAATATAGTTTGTGATATTATACTACCCACAACTCCCCAGATCTTTTACTTTTGATATATAATCGTTATGTTAAATTTTTTAAAATACTGAATGCTTAAGCTATGTATTCCTAAACAATCACTGAGTGATATTAGTCGAAAACATAAAAAAGGGGTAAGTCACATTAGAGAACGAAGAATCTTCTCCTAAGGTGAGTGATGTGAACAAGGTTCGCCTTCTAAATTAGACAATTTCTTAGATTTCAACAGTGATAGTAGACAATTAAAAAGTTGGAGGCAAACATCAAACAAATTCCTTGTGAGCATGTACTATGAACCCAAACAACTAACCCTTGCTTTAGCGACGAATTTAAAAAGCAACCCAGACTACCGATCCATTATGCAAGCCAGTCGCCTACGTGGAACCGAACAATTAGCAGTTATATTTATGCATTTTCATTTTGTACCTCATCATTTTGTGCGTGCGGTGGAGCACTTCTTAACTCCTCCTACAGCCCCCCTGGGGCCACTGCCGATCCCAAGCCCGAATGAAAGGGAAGGGTTGGGCGTGGGGTGAGCGAAACAATCCCGTTGAAAACTAACTCGCTAAAAAACGCTAACCAGAAGGAATTATTCAAAC